CACATTCTCTTAAACTCTTTGATTTTGTCATTTGTGGCTGGTTTAACTTTTGGATTATTTATCCATCCATCCATTTTCAGCTGCTTTTTTGAAGTCGAGTTGCGGGGGCAGCAGCCTAAGCAGGGAGGCCCAGACTTCCCTCTCCCCAGCTATTTGGGCCAGCTCCTCCAGGGGAATCCCAAGGCGTTCCCTGGCCAGTCAAAAGACGCAGGCTGTGTCTCAATTCAGGGTCTGCATCCTTCGAAGGACCCAGCCTACTCGGCCGACGTGGGTTGGGTCCTCCGTCGGCCGGGTAGACCGGATGTTAACGGCTGTGAATTTGGACAGGCCAAGCCTTCATGAATCCCCGCCTCTCCCTCGGGGAACGTTCCGTCGCCTAGCAACCGTGGAACCGCTGAGCAGAAGGGAGAAGGAACTTTAAACGATGGAGCTCGAAGTTTTATTAAGATCTATAATCATTTCCTTGACTGTTGGAGAGCTAATTCGGAGAAAATACTTTCGACAAGCTGAGCCTGAGCAAAGAAGTGATAATAGTTTTTAATACTTTCTAAGGGTCTTAATTTGACCAAAACCGATTTATCACCTTTTAAGACTTTTCAGACCCAGCGGGATACCCTCTAGTAAACAATTCTCATTTGTAAACCAAAAGAAAATTCAAGAGTTTAATGCAGAACTGATTTTATTTAGATATTTCTTTTATACGTACGTGTTTAATCTTTATTAACCTTTTTTTTTTCTAGCAAAGTAAAAAGCCTGTCAAAGTTCTTCCTTCTCTCCTTTGCCCTCTGCAGCTCTGCCTCCTCTGCAGCCTCATGTCCTCCCTGATCAGCTCCAGAAGCTGGTCATTGCTGTCACCTTCCCCTGGATGCCCATTTTCTCCAGAATAGTCTTAGCAAACATGTAAGAAAAGAAACAGGAAGAGAAAAGAGGACAACGGGTTATTCCTTTCATGTTTTCGCAGAAAAAAATAAACTCAAACGAGTTTTTAAAATATGAGATGTTATTGTACCTCCATGCCACAGCCGCCGAATACTTTGCTCCAGTGATCATGTGGTCCATCTCCGCCCTAAGCTTAATAAATTCCCTGGTTTTCTCTTGCTCCTAAAATACAAACTTCTATTAAAATCAGGGGGAAAACGTAGCGGGAGAAGTACGACACCGAGCGGCCGAACATACGAGCCGAGACCGCAATACAAGCACTTTTACTGTAACATTTCTAACTAAAATAACGTTCATGTGTCACCAAAAGTCCTTAACCTAACAGTTTTCAAGTTTATACTGACATTTATATGAGCAATCATCTCCGACAGCTCCCGCTTCACTGTCCGCCGTTTTTCTGCCGGCCGGCCCGCAAGGCATCTTGGGAAATGCTACCTATTGAAGGATACACCGGACCCATCCTTCATTCAGGCGAAAAGAAGGCCGCATTTGTCGACCGCATTTGAAGGAGTCTTCGAATTGGGACAGGCCTAGTCGCGGCGCTGTGACGTAACCGGCCAACGAATCCGGCCGACGTAGGATGCAGACCCTGAATTGAGACACAGTGATAGTCCCTCCAGCATATCCTGGGTCTTCCTTTGAGTCTCCTTTCGGGTGAACGTGCCCAGAAAACCTCACCAGGGAGGCGTCCAGGAGGGATCCTAACCAGATGCCCAAGCCACCTCAACTGGCTCCTCTCGATGTGGAGAAGCAGCAGATCTTCTACAAACTCCTCCCAGATGACCACGCTTCTCACCTTTTATCTAAGGCATAATATGGCACGGGAAAATATGATAGGTGTCATTGTTAGGGTTCTGATTGGCTTACTCTGCTATGAAGCTTTTAGAGTTGTAACGTTCCCACCTCTTCTTGTTAACAGAGCTGGAGTAGGTGTGGATGACATTTTGTTTTATTGACAATCCAAACAGAAACAAAGCAGCTGCTTTTGACCGGTTTGTGTCCACATAAAGATTTTCTGAACATTTTTTATCCTGCTAAAGAACATTAAGGAATACATTTTGAAAAATGCTGGAAGACCTGATTCTTTGCTGTTGAAGGATTGAATATAAACGGGGGGGGGGGGGGGGGTATTGCAGTATACAGTGAAACACAGTAACATGCAAACGTTACATAATTTGAAAAAGAATAAAGTATTTCATAAATGTGAGGTTAAAGTAAAGTGCACAGACATAAAGGAGCTCTGGGACTCTAGCCAGCCCCTCCCCCAGACATCCAGAATCTGACCCCCGCTTCATTTATTTCATTTACTCCAAACATTTTCTCAGGAAATGGAGTGAGGTCTTAAGAAAATACTTCTAAAGATCTTTCTCGTCTATTTTCCTTGTGTCAGCCAGTCGTGCGCACATGCAAATGCAAAACCCTGAGAAAATATTGTGATTAGGGTTTCAGTTATATTTAGGTAAATTGCCTTATTTTACACATGTGGTGCATTTTGTTCTGTGGAGTACCTCAGAATGTGATTTGCTTTGGTAAAACAGTGTTAGAGTACAAGATTTGATGCAGCCTACCTTTTCAGCTTTTTAAAGTGAACTTGAAAAGGGGAGATGCTTAGTTCTTATTCACCTCAAAATTTTCACAAATTTGAAGGTGAACATTTGTGATTCCTTGCAACAAATGACTACAATTATAGAAACCTACATTTTCCTCATTAGTGGAAGCAGAAAGCTGATGAGCCAGGAAGGGATACCTCTGATGAAACTTCCATTCACTGGCCTGCTGACTGACAAAATATTAAGATCCAGAATATTCTCTCTTGATTAGACAGTGGCTGCTTTCACCACAGATCTCTCTGTGCTTCTGTTTTAATTCAATTCAATTCAATTCAAATCAAATATACTTTATTAATCTCAGAGGGAAATTAGAGTTTCAGTACACACAATTCTGAGATCAGACATACATACATAGACACATGACAAGAATTGGTAACTGTGGTCATTCGCATCCCTAGTCGCGCTACGTTAATAGAGATCAGTGGGTTACATGAGGATTGGGTCAGGTGGAGGAAAACAAGGCACTTCAGAGTTACCCTCCACAGGGAGGGCAGCTTTGCTATGCAAAAAACACCTCAGACAGAAATGCAACAGACTTCAGACATTACACAACATAAGTGTCCACTAGGCGGGGTGGTGGGTTTGGGACTCTCCACACGTCAGTGCGTGCAGCCACGTCACCTCAGTCTGGACAGGGGTGGGAGGTCATTGGGTTTGGAGGGCACAGTGACTCCTGGAACAATTCGGCAGCCTTCACAGCCCGCAGTCCCGCCAAGGCTGGGATAGGGAGACAGAGTTGCCATAGCGACGGCAGCATTCCACATTTCTTCTGAGGGGGGAGTATTTGTTGCAGCCTCACAGGCTCAAGAGCACTAGATTCAGATTAGAAGTTGTTTTTGGGGCCAGACAGAGATAATTTCCTCTCTGTCTTAAAGTTCTGTCTGTCTTCAACCCCTCTAAATCCAATAATGGCGTAAATTAATCTATTCCCAACCATGCTGTCCCGTCAACTTGCTCCTTGATCAAATCCACCTTCTGTGCCAGAGCCTGAATCTCAGCCAAATTTCCAAGCTTACGACTCATCTCGACAATTATATGATTTTATGATTTCACAGTGTGGTGATTGAGCCAATATTCCCCGAAAGCTCATTAATTTTCCAGTAAGCCAGGTAACCGCTCAGGCCAAACAGCAGGAATCCCGACACCAACACCTCAAATATCCAGATGTCTTCAGAATCCTCTCCAGACAGTTGAGAGAGGCAGATCAGGTTCCACTGTTTCCAGGAGTCCATGATATGCCCAACTGGCTCTGTCCCAGAGGGGCATCCGGGAGCCCCTTCTCCCGTTTTCATCGTTGAAAAAATCTTGACAATCGTGTTGAGAGACCAACTGACAAGGTCCATTTTTAATAATTTCCAGTTTCCAGAAAAAAATGCAGAAGTGCCATACACCCAAAGACAGACAAAGAGCCTTGGGATAAGATAGGGAGGAGAGGAGGAAAAAAGCGTCTGTACTTTCCAAGAGCTGGAAGAAAAAGAAAAAAAACTGATAAAATATTAAGATCCAGAATATTCTCTCTTGATTAGACAGTTGCTGCTTTCACCACAGATCTCTCTGTACTTCTGTTTTACAAAGTAAATACAGCTGAGATATGAAAGGCTTATTTATATTGACAGTGTTTTTCCATTGGCATGAAAATAACAGAAATACAATAACAAATACATTGTGTTTGTCTAATGAGAATTATCTGTTGTTTTTGAGACAGAAGTAGGTCAAGGGTTCTGAATGATTTTTTTACCCAACAGGCGTCTGCAATGTTGGCGAATAATCCAATAAACCACTGGAAGGCTCATGAAGTAATTACTGGATGTCCATCTAGAGTTGATTAACGTTTGGAGTCAACCCAATTCAAGATGGCGGCCACAGGTAATCATCATCATTAAGCACAAAAATGGAAACAGCTCAGACAGTTTTACAGGTATAGAAGTCAGGGTCATCCCCAACATATGATGCAAATAATAACAGATATTTGTTAGCAAAATATCTCCTTAATGACTTGTTTAAACAATCATGAAATAATCATTATACATGCGAAAAAAACTGATTTACTTTGGACCCTAGGCTTTTGCTGCTGGACTTGCTTATCCCCTAATAGCCACTTCTGCATCACGGGTCCCCGGAAGAATGAAAAAATGAATGTAAGTCAACGGGGCTAAAAATGCTATTTTCTAATCTGCTTTGCCTTACGCCCTGGATCGCACATATGCTGTACTGCAATTGAAATGAAAAGTAATGATGAGTGTTTCATTTATGCCAGTTGCGCACTTTGAGATTTATCAGCTTGCAACATTTCGTAATTAGCATGACTACATACTAGAAATCAGCACGTCACATATGTGACGTCACCACATAATCTCCTCTCCCCAAAGTAGCTGCTACTTACCACATGACCAGATTTACAGCATTTTACATAACCATGGGTGCGTTTTTGTAGACTGGAGCAGGTATTATAAGATTGTTCTTCTTCCTTCTCCTTTTCAGTAACGGTCTTATTGTAAGATCTCTCTCATTTAATCATTTTGTTATTGGAGATGTGCACAGCCATGTGTGAAATAAATAAACCAATGAATGAATGAATTTTTAAAGTTGTGAAATGAGCTTTGTGTCCCTGAGCTATGACTATCAGGAAGTAACAGATGTAAAACTTTTGATAAGGAAGTCTTCAGAGGGCAGAACCTGACTCCTGCTCTGATAAAGAGACGAGGCTCACCAGATGATGCTTCACATCACATACAGAAGAACATGGTTCAAACAGTGCTGACGGTGTTCCTGCTGGTCTGCAGCTCGGGACTCCGGGCTGAACAACCAGCAGTGAAGTCTGAAGTCAGATTGAAGGGAGGAACCAGTCGCTGTGATGGAACCCTGGAGAGGAAAGATCAGGGAGACTGGAAGAATGTGGAGGACCAGAGAATGGACTGGACCATGACATCAGCAGGTGAAGCGTGCAAACAGCTGGACTGTGGATCTGTGGTGTCAATATGGAGAGAATATGATGAAATGAGGATTACCTGTTTAGATTCAGTCAGACTGGTTAATGGGACTGGTCTGTGTTCAGGAAGACTGGAGGTGAACTTTAACCAGTCATGGTCCCCAGTGAGTGAAGATGGTTTTGACCAGCAGGATGCAGAGGTGGTATGTAAGGAGCTGGGCTGTGGTTCTCCTTCAGTCCTCCAGGGGGCGCTTTATGGAGAAACAGAGGATCCAACATGGAGCAGAGAGTTCCAGTATGAAGGCAACGAGGCTGTTCTGTTGGACTGTGATGGTTCTGATAGAAAATATTCTGGTAACGCTGTTGGACTCACCTGCTCATAGCTAGAAGACTGGTTCCGGTTGGTTGGGGGAGAAAATCGGTGTGCTGGGAGGCTGGAGATGAAACACAAAGATGAATGGGAACCAGTAGATGGGTATTTTGGGATCCCGAGGATGACAGGCGAAGTGTGTAGACAGTTGGACTGTGGCCCTCCTCAGTGGGTCACTAAAGGAAGAATGACCTCGGGAACAGATGTCTGGGGATTGGATTCTGACTGCCATGCATCTTCTCTGAACGAATGTGTGAAACTCATCCCAATTTCCTTTGATTCCACAGAATTGACCTGCTCAGGTAAATAACTTTGGTTCTCATAGCTAACTTTTTATTGGGCGTGTTTGTAGCTGTTGCTGTTTCTAACATGGTGCAAGCTGAGGGGTTTGTTGAGCCGTCAGTGGAACAGGTTCAGAGTTATTTTACAGGGTTAGTTTTGTGTCTATGAGAAACTGATGGATTTAAATCGAAGGTGTCTGATGACCCTCTTTCTGTCTCTGTCCAGGCTCCGTCACACTGGTTAAAGGCAATAATGTGTGTTCAGGCACGCTGGAGGTGAAGCTCAACCAGTCCTGGGGTCTCATTTATCAAACATTACATAGAATCCTTACTAAAACCGTACTTAAGCTCAGCAAAAAAAAAAAGTACTAACGCCAAGTAGGTTTGTGACCTATCAAACATGGAGTACGCACAGCTGCACGCAATCTCCGCTTCATAAATCAGAGACTAAAGAGAATGTTTCTCAGCTGCATTTTAGTCACATCCCGCCCTCACCACGCCCACTTACTGCCATAAATAGTCAATGCAAAGTGCCTTGTGGATCTCATGCATATACTGTACATAAGCCGGCTGTTGCAGCGCTCTGCCAATGACATGGCGACCATAGATCAAGGCAGATCAAGGAAGTGCAATTTCACAGAAGCAGAAGTTGAGGTACCTGTGGGTGAGGTGGAGAAATGAAAGGAAGTGCTTTTGCAAAACAAATAAGAGAAAATCCACAGAGTGGCACAGCGTTGCTGAAGCCGTCAATGTTGTGAATTCTTCAGAGAGATCTGTGGCAGATATAAAAAAATGACCCGATCAGGATTCGATCCCCAGACTCCCAGGTAAAAGTCACGCACGCTAACCAGTCACCCAAACAGAGATCTCCCTTGTCCAAGTAGCCAGGGCGCATGATCAATCAGGTCACAGTGACAGGACACACACTGTCACAGACGCATGATGTTCTGTCTCAATCTGCCCCCCTGCTGATATTATGCATTCTGTATTCTGCGCTTCAGGCTGTGTGTGTGTGTGTGTGTGTGTGTGTGTGTGTGTATGAGTGTGCGTGGGCATGTGTGTGTACGCACGTGTGTGTGTGTGTGTGTGTGTGTGTGGGGGGGGGGGGTCTTATTCTGTGTGAATATGAAGCAGTGCAAGTGATAATGCTGCAGGATTTCATAATGTTATCCTTCTCAGCAGCAGCACTGCAGGTGCTCTCCATGTCCAACATGTGCGTAAGCCAGGTCCTTTGTCAACTTAAAGTTGCGCACATTTTCCTGCTAAGTTTTCTTTCATAAATCTTAAAGTGGACAGTTGCTTACGCCGTTTTCTGACCCCGTTTTGGGCGTAAGCAAGCTTGATAAATTAGGCCCCAGGTCCTCAGTGTGTGAAGATGGTTTTCACCAACAGGATGCAGAAGTGGTCTGTAGGCAGCTGGCCTGTGGGACTCCTTCAGTCCTACGGGGGGCACTCTATGGAGAAACAGAGGCTCTGGTACTGAGCAAAGAGTTCCAGTGTGAAGGCAAGGAGTCTGCTCTGCTGGACTGTAGAATCTCAGGATCAGAAAGAAACACCTGCTCACCTGGTAAAGCCGTCTGACTCACCTGCTCAGGTTATGTCAGGTTAATGGGAGAGGCCAGCTGCTGTGCTGGGAGGATGGAGGTGTTACACCAGGATGAGAGGAGACCAGTATATGATTTGTCTGGTGACTGGAACAACGAGTCAGCTGCTGCAGTGTGTTCTCACCTGGGTTGTGGTTCTGTTGTTCTAACGAGAACGTTAAGAGACTCTCCACACCAGCTTGTGTGGAGGATCACTCCATCTTGTCTGCCGTCATATTCTTTGCTACGAGTGTGTTTACATGGTGCTTCAGGTGATTAGAGCATCCAGGATACCTGCTCTGGTAACATCTTTAGTTCCTGTTCACCAGGTTTTATTTAGTGTAGTTCATCGCCGTCAAGTGTGTGAATCTTTCTGAATGAATGAATCAAGTGTAAAGCGCTTTGGAGTCTTCTGACTTAGATGCTTTACAAGTGTGCGTCATTTATCATACTTGCTAATTAAAATGCTACAGAGTTGTTTGCTATTATCATACAACAAATCTGCTATTTCATCATAAAATGGGCAGAGCCTAATTTCATGATCTTTATGCCAGGATCACATCAGCTGCGAAGTGAACCGCTCACAAAATGTGCGTGCTGCCCGCTGCTCATCAAGCGAGAATTTGCGACGAGCGCTTCTGCTCACACCTACTGTTTTCCAAACCCCCTTCCCCACCCCTGAGCCCTTGCTCTGTGTGTGTGTGTGTGTTCTTCCATCTAGTCTGTTTATATTCACCAAAATGATCACATTTATCAATCGTTGTGAATACAGCGGTGTATTCTGGGAAATTTTGACCAAGGCTAGGCTACAAGATACCTTGCTCAGCTAGCTAAATGGCTAACAAATGGAGAACATGCCTCGGTAGAACATGGACATTGGAACACGCCTTGGCGGTTCCTGATGAAGTATCTCCTAGGCAACCGTGGCGGGACCAAGACATCCAGGCAAGGTTCCTTGGCTTTGAGAAAACACCCCATGAATGAAAGATTTTCTCTGTGACATAGAAAAGACTGGCTTTTTCTCACCTGAGCAGTTTCCCATCTATGTTCTTTTGGAGGCCATTGCAGGAAACGGGTTGAGTATTATACATTTTAAGTCAATCTGCACTGTAAAGTAAATTAAAATGTATTTTTGGGACACCTTGTTCTTGAATACATTATTTTGGAGTCACCAATGCTGGTGTATATCTCTACATTTTGTTATATTTTTCAAGCAACTAGCCCTTCTTTTGTCGGTGAACAGACTGCTACTTGTCTCAAACCTTGGAGCACCTTGGTTCCACCACCGTATTGGACTACCTCTTACCTGTTTCTGTTTCCGAGCTCGTTCCAGTCTTTCCAGGGAGAAAGTAGCCATCAGAGTGGTTTTCTGCTGTACTGAGAAAGCTCTATGTACCTGTTAAAGAAAGCAGCTCGAGCCACAGTGTGCAAACCACATGTGAAATCAGAGGTGCGCTGTGAATTATGCGTGACTGCTCAGCCAAATGAAAATGTAGATTTTGGCTTGGATGCTGCAGTGATTTTATTATAAGGATTTTTAAAAATCCCCTTTGCTTCCCTGCTCCCTTTGGGTCCCCAGTGTTTGGATACTATAAAAAGGCTTTGTGTGCTCAGTAATTGCTTAATAGTTGTATAAAATATCATTAAGGGCTGTTGTTGGTAAGGTTACATCCACTTCTGCTACCAGAGGGGCTCAGGACTGTAGGCTTGACTTTGTTTCTTTATGGGTGACCCCGCGAGCAAAGCTGACCATTGAGCAGGATTGATGGTTTATCCCTTGAGGTCCATGTGGCAGGGGTGAGGTGGTGCTCACTCCTCACCCCTGCCACATGGACCAAAGGGATAAACCATCAATTCTGCTCAATGGTCAGCTTTCCTCGTGGGTTCACACCCATTAGGACAGTGGGAGGGTTAAGTCAGTTTCAACCAAGCATCTCTATAAAACCAATTCCTTATTTTGCTTTTTCCTTCACTTTAGCTTCCTCTACATTCATTCATTCATGCATTCATTCATGCATTCATTCATGCATTCATTCATTCTCGTAGTTTGTTAGCATGTTGGTAATGTGCCTCACAACAGCTTGTACCTTCCTTGTATGTCTATCTATGAAAAGCATTTGCCAACCAATGTCTAAATCCCACCACCCTGCCGTGCATACTTACCAGCTGGCACGCTCTGAGCTTTAAGAGGAAGAAGTAGGCCCTGGCCTCCTTAGATGAGGTCATCACTCTGCTCCTGCATCCCACCCACAGGCAGTTTTGAATTTTGGCTTCCTTCACTCACAAGCTTCTTGCACCATTCTTTTTTCAGCTCCATTAAAAATAATTGGGGTATCGCTCCAGAATAAATGTTGAGGAGGAAACCAAGTCTGGTCATTCTCGCTTAGTTCAACACAGAAAGAGGATGAAGAGAATTGTCACATGGTGGAGAAGTTCACAATGTATTTATTCTTCTATACACCCCCCCCCCCCCCCCCCCCCCCACACACACACACACACACACACACACACACCCGTATCACTTATCCAAATTGGTGGTCAATATTTGCTCCGTTGATGATTGCTTCCAGTGGCTAATTTTCTGAAAGAGATATCTCCTTCCTTTGGTGTCCGCTCACAGCAGAGCACATTGAAAGAATTACCGTACAGTTTCTCTCCTTAATCCACCTCACTAATGACGTTAATGAAAAATAATTCTAATGTAATTAGCTCTTCTCTTCAGTCAGCCTCATTCCCCTCTTGGGTTTGGATGACCTGTGGTGCTGGCAGACAGCAACGGGACTCGCTCCAACAACACTGCTGCCCCTTTAAGCAGGAACGCTGTACGGACCCATGCCTAAGAACAGACAGCAGAACCTGATTGATATGGAGGTTTCTTTGGAAACTCGCACTGTTTCCACAACTGTATTTGAAACAAAACAAAACAAACTCTGTTTGTTCCACAGTATTTAACTCACCATTCAACTAAACACAATAAACAATGTTGGGATTATTACATAAATCCTTCCATCCATTTTCCAAACCCTCTTTGTATCATTTGGAGTTCCACGGGCCAAAACCATACTAGTGCTCATCGTATAAAAGGCAGAGAACATTAAGGTCAATGTCTCTTTTGAAAACTGTACATTTATTTTAATGTTACTGTTTCTGTAAAGCAAAGCATGTAATATGGCTGCACTATTAATATTAAATAAAACAGTGACATATACAGTTTTAATTTGTTCACAGTTGTGTTACTTCTCTGCTGTTGTTACATTTGTGTATTTGCTTTTTTAATTTACAAATTCATGTAACCTTGAATTTTACCAACTTTAATAACTGCATTGTTTTCTTGTTCATTATGATCCTGCCATGACACCAACGTTTCCCCACTCAGGGAAAACAAGGATCTTCTATTCTATTCTATTCTATTCTATTCTATTCTAGAGAGAAAATCTTAGCTCAAACCCTGAACTACTTACCTGGTTGGAATTCAAGATGGCAGATATGTCTTTAGAATGAGAGACTCAGCGATCTGGTCGCTGGATGACATCACACACCATAACAATAGCAGCTGCACAGTATCCGAGTAGCAAAAATACCTTTAATAAGGTTGTGTGATTGGAGTTTATGTGACACTACAATATACAGTAGATGCCTTGGTTAAAATAACAGCCCCCCCCCCCCCCCCCCCCTTTGATTTTTACAGTTAAGTATTGTAATGTTGATAAAAACTATTCGGAGCCTATTCCGCAGTCTGAGCAATAATTACAGAGTTTGCCAGCAGAGGGCGCTCGGTGCCTTGTGCAGCAGTAGCTGCCGCTCCCGCAGAAGAAGTCAGAACTAGTGAGGGAGCTGGCTGCGCACCGAGTAGCTCCGGTTAACTTTGTTGTACTTTGTTTCTGCCGGTAAGCTGGGTTATAAACTGTAAAGGAGCAATACTGAACATTAGTGATTGTGTGTCTGTGCCATAGAGGGCAACTTTGGCTAAGCTGAACCGAAAAAACGTCTTTGAGGCGTCTGTAAAAGTAGTTTTCCCTTTCGTGGGAATAAAATGACGGACTCACAGTCCGGAGTGGGAAAACTGAGAACGGGTTACTAGGTTGAGAGGTGGAAATGAGGTACGAGAGTCACGGGAAAATATTCAGAACCACAGTAAAACACTAGCTTGTGGCTAGAGCCCGTATGGACTGGATTACAAGTGCATTAGTACGACCGTTCGGTGTAAACTGTAATGCTAAGCTAAAACCAGATTCATGGTGAGCTAGGTAGCACATGGAGGAGTTCTAGGAAGGCGCTAATCCAGCTTTTTTATATTTTAATGTGAGTTGGTACCATCGATTCAGTTGTCTGTAGCACAGAACTGGCCAGTGTGCTTTCAGGAAAAGTCTGGAGAAATGTACAATGCTTTGTGTGTCTCAGTAAGCTTGAACAGGACGGAAATGTGTTGAAAATGCATTTAATAAAGTTGATTTAAATAGATACGTAAATACAGTTCATACAGTAATAAATAAATAGGATGAAAAGGTTAAAAACCGTAGTTTAAAAGCACTATAAAACTGAATCTAAGTTCATTATCTTTGTTTACACAGCAAGAACAATTGTTTGGTTCCTGTTAAGGAGCCAAGGAGGAGCAGTAGCATTACATACCGCTGAGCCTGTAGCTTAGTTAGAGCGATCAGTAAAAACAAAAGCATACAGGTAAAAATGCGAAGAATGTCCATAACTGGTGGAAAGAAACATAAGTCAGCAAACAAAGCTAGAGAATAAGAAAGTAAAACGCGAGGGGAAGGACGTGTCGGGAAGATGGTGTTTTCCAGGAAAGGCAAATCTTAGCATGCTCAGCTTTTTTGATCTGATATAATGCTCGGTGCGTGTATACTCATGGCATGATAGGATCATTTCAGTTAGAGTACATATAAACAGAGATTTGGGATTTCCAATAAACCAAGATTTGAATCGATCCATCCATCTACAGGTGCTGGCCAGTAAATTAGAATATCATCAAAAGGTTGAAAATATTTCAGTAATTCCATTCAAAACGTGAAACTTGTACATTATATTCATGCAATGCACACAGACCAATGTATTTCCGATGTTTATTACGTTTAATTTTGATATTTATAGGTGACAACCAATGAAAACATCAAATCTGGTATCTCAGAAAATTAGAATATTCTAAAGGCCAATGAAAAAATGTTTGTTTCTCTAATGTTGGCCAACTGAAAAAATGAACATGAAAAGAATGTGCATGTATAGCACTCAATACTTAGTCGGGGCTCCTTTTGCCTCAATAACTGCAGTAATGCGGCGTGGCATGGACTCGATCAGTCTGTGGCACTGCTCAGGTGTTATGAGAGCCCAGGTTGCTCTGATAGTCGTCTTCAGCTCCTCTGCATTGTTGGGTCTAGCGTATTGCATCCTCCGCTTCACAATACCCCATAGATTTTCTATGGGGTTAAGGTCAGGCGAGTTTGCTGGCCAATCAAGGACAGGGATACCATGGTCCTTGAACCAGGTGCTGGTGGTTTTGGCACTGTGTGCAGGTGCCAAGTCCTGTTGAAAGGTGAAGTCTGCATCCCCATAAAGTTGGTCAGCAGCAGGAAGCATGAAGTGCTCTAAAACTTCCTGGTAGACGGCTGCATTGACCCTGGACCTCAGGAAACAGAGTGGGCCAACACCGGCAGATGACATGGCACCCCACACCATCACTGACGGTGGAAACTTTACACTGGACCTCATGCAACGTGGATTCTGTGCTTCTCCGCTCTTCCTCCAGACTCTGGGTCCTTGATTTCCAAAGGAAATGCAGAACTTGCTTTCATCAGAAAACATAACTTTGGACCACTCAGCATCAGTCCAGTCCTTTTTGTCCTTGGCCCAGGCGAGACGCTTCTTGCGCTGTTTCATGTTCAAGAGTGGCTTGACACACGGAATGCGACACCTGAATCCCATGTCTTTCATGAGTCTCCTCGTGGTGGTTCTTGAAGCGCTGACTCCAGCTGCAGTCCACTCTTTGTGGATCTCCCCCACATTTTTGAATGGGTTTGTCGTCACAATTCTCTGCAGGGTGCGGTTATCCCTAGAGCTTGTACATTTTTTTCTACCACATTTTTTCCGTCCCTTCGCCTGTCTGTTAATGTGCTTGGACACAGAGCTCTGCGAACAGCCAGCTTCTTTAGCAATCACCTTTTGTGTCTTGCCCTCCTTGTGCAAGGTGTCAATGATTGTCTTTTGGACAGCTGTTAAGTCAGAAGTCTTCCCCATGATTGTGGTGCCTTCAAAACAAGACTGAGGGACCTTTTAAAGGCCTTTGCAGGTGTTTTGAGTAAATCAGCTGATTAGAGTGGCAGCAGGTGTCTTCTATATTCAGC